ATTTTCAGATGCTTTTTTGCATAAATTCTATTTAGGTACCCCGATTCAAGTTAAACTTACACCAATCTTGGGGAATCTTTTTGCGTAGGTACCCACTTCATTCTAATTAATTGCAATAATAATAATTTTTACTAAGAATATCTAATTTTTATAACCTATGATGTTTATTGAAGATTAAAGTAAAATTACTTAGAAAAAAACTCTTTATATCTATATAAAAAAAGTTATATTATCACATTGAATTTTTTATGCTTCATGATTAATTTGTACCGGTCTCCCTTAATTATTAATATGTAGGTACGAATTGTACCTAATATAACAGGGGTGGGGAAGGTTGGTTTTCTTCGTTAATTAAAATAAAATAGAATATAAATTATAATACTTTTGAAAATTACAGTACAGTACATGTTTCTAAACATTCTAGTTTAATATTGCGATTTTACGACTTAAAGGAATTTAGTCTAAAAAGCCTATGGGGTTCAATATCTTTAGAATGTTTATTATATATTGAAAATATTATTTTCTAAGAAACAAGACATGACTGACATTGTAATTTTTGTCTTATTTTCCGATTTCTTCGTTTTTATGATTGTTTTTGTCCACATTAACAAATTTTCCTTAAAGTTTTTTTATGAAAACGAAACTTCCTATTCTTTTTATTTATTTGTTTTCCACCTTTTTCTTTAAGTACACGGCGATACCAAATTTCTTGTAGAAGTTTCACAAACTTATACCTAATTTACCTAGTTGTATTTTTCTGTTGGGAACTCTATATCCATAAGTTATCTCCACTACTTTTTTATATTACAGCAATATTGCTAATAATAAATGATCTATACTAGGTTTTAATTAATGTATAGTTTTGCCGTGTCACTTTTTATTTCCAGTAAATTCCCTCTGGGTATTTTAAAATTGACAAATTTTCGGAAAAAACTAAAAATTATTGACTGTCAAAAAAAGCAAAGCCATTGAGAATTACAACGTTAGTGAAATTTAATTGTTTCAGTTAATTAATTGGACCCTAATAATGTAGTAGTGATTAAACCGAAGTGTTAAAAAGTGTAAACATAAGCATAACGTATCTGTAGGGATGTACTTTTGAGAACGGGGTAAAGTGAAAAAGTAAAGTTCAATAAAACTCATTTATTTTAATATAACGATCCGAAGGTAAAACGTAAATAACCAAAATAAGTTTAAGTCGCCATTTAAACGGGAACTCTGAAGTTTTCTTTTCTGCACAGGGCCGCATTTAGGTCTAATGTCGCCCTAGGCTTAAGTACATACCTTGCTGTTATTCCTACAGGATTGGAAACGGTTAATAATAAATAAAAATCAAATATTTTTTTATTAAAAGAACAAAAGTACATAAACAACTAACATTAAAGCCTTACTCACGGCGATGTACAGAAATTACGAAGTGTTTGGACCATTTGAAAACCAAACCAAAAAAATTTGAATATTCGGCGCAATTTTTTGCATAGCCTCATACTTTGGCATCCTGATCAATTTTTTCTCTTTTTCGATTGTGCCCATATTTCACAGGGCTACCATTTAGACGAAAATTAAAATAGGGAACAAACTGAAAAATTTTTCGATTGAACTTTTCTAAACTAAAACAGTTTGGCCGCAATGAGCATATTGCATACTCTTTAGGCCACCCTGTATATACGGCTTGCGACGTTCCTTTTTGGGACGTATGAATGTAATTTATATCGCGCAAAATTGTGCATAAAATGGCAAGTGAATTGACTGATTGGTTCTATCACCATAAACGAAATATTTTGTGACTACAGAAAGCATCTTCCACTTGCTACTATAAAGTATTGTATAGATCGTGCAGGTACTTTATGTAATTTATGTTAAATAATAAGATTGTTATAGTTTACCTATTTATTATTAGCAATTTCTTCAATTAAGTTGTACATACAGAAAAGTTATTATATTACATTCATGTGTTCAATGATGGTACCTAGAAATGCCCAAGGAAATAAAATTAATAACGTATGCTTCACGAATCAAAAATTTGTCAAAGAAATAGGAATTACAGTTTATAATTACCTAAATAAGAATAGAATTATCAACTAAACCTTTAGCAAAAGTTATAACAGGATTCAATTAGAGATTTCATTGATTAATTTAAGTCTTATACGGTTTAATCTAAAGTGAGTAATATGTTCTTTATATCTTGTTAAAGTAGACTGTTTTGTTTGCCCGACATATTTAAGTTTACAACCTTCACAGTTTATGTAATAAATTCCGGATTTTTGATCATTTTCTAATTTATCTTTAATGTTCCTTAATTCCTTAGGTTTTCTAGATTATTGTTTGTTTTAAAAATTCTAGTGAAATCAAATTCTTTTAAATTTTAATTCATCATGTGTCCACTTTACCAAAATTTTAAATAAAAAGAAAGACTAAACCAAGGTTCAAAAATCGTACCGGTAAGTATTACGAACCACAAAGTTGGTTGTCAAAATTTTGAAAATTAGAGCTTAAATCAAAAAGCTTTATCCTTACCATGAAAATATTACATCAGCTTGCACTAAAACAATACAAAGTTTTACAATGTTTTAAATTCAAACTAATCAAGCTACATGCTGTGAGCTTCTGAAAGAATAACACTTCTGTTTTTCACC